CCAAGTCTTATGAGGAAAGGCTGAAAGAGTTGGGTATGTTTAGCCTGGGAAAGAGAAGGCTTAGAGGGGACATGATTGCAGTCTTTAAGTATCTGAAGGGCTGTCATGTAGAAGATGGAGCAGATCTATTCTCTCTTGCTCCAGATTGCAAGACTAGATCTAATGGGTGGAAATGACAAGGGAGTCGTTACCGGCTAAATATCAGGAGAAACTTCCTAACGGTAAGAGTGGTTGAGCAGTGGAACAGTCTGCCTCGGGAGGTGGTGGATGCTCCTTCGCTGTACGTTTTCAAGCGGAGGCTGGACAACCATCTTTCGGGTATGTTGTAGGGCTATCTTTTGGCTATGCTCCTGCAGAGTGCAGGGGGTTGGACGAGATGACCTGCAAGGTCCCTTCCAACTCTAACATTCTATGATTCTATGAACTATGAGACTGACCACAAGGGCTTGCTGTCATCAGTTCACTTTCATGCTGACCAAAACAAACATTAGCGTACACTTGGGGACGCCTGAAGATATGTTAGGAATGTGCCTACAAATGAAAAGCACAAATGTGGCAAAGCATGAAGAACATCTAGCTCAGTCTGACCACCAGCAGCTTCAGCCTTCTTAGAATGAGATCTTTTCTAGCACCTCTTCCCCGAAACCAGGGACTGAGCCTGGGCCCTTGGGCATGCAGAGCACTGCGCCCTGCCACTGAACCACAGCTGCTCCCACTATATAGAGGTGCTCATCCAAGAGTCAGGATTGGCTGCAACACTGTGAAGAGTGTTTGCATTCTGTGGAATGCCGCAGTTGACTTCTGCATGGCGCAGGAAATGGCTTCAGAAAACAGCCTTCTCATATAATGGTATCCAGGCTGAGCAGGTGTACACAGGAACTTCAGAAGAGCCCTGCTGGATCAGACCAAAGGCCCATCAAGGCCAGGATTCTGTTCACACAGCGGGTGACCCGCTGCCTCTAGGAAGCCCAACTGGCAGGAGGACTGCAACGGCAGCCGCCACACACCCCACCATCCTCCCCAGCAACTGATATAAAGAGACATTTTACCTTTGGTACTGGACGGAGTACTTCTACTGAGGCTGCCAAAGGACTTCTTTTTAACAGCTTAACTGTCTTACTTAATCTGGCAAACTCAAATAAATATTTCTTTGTGTCAAGACGGGAGACTTTAGATAGGCCTCTAGAGAGCCAACAATCTGACCTTGCCTTGCCAGTCGCAAGGGTTAGCAGCACTGCTCAGTGACAGAGCACCCCACGTAAGAATATAAGAGAACATAAGAGAAGACAATGCTGGACCAGGCCAAACGCCCATCCAGTCCAACACTCTGTCACACAGTGACCAAAAATACCAGGTGCTGTCAGGAGGTCCAGCAGTGGGGCCAGGACACCAGAAGACCTTCCACTGTTGCCCCCATTCCAAGCACCAAGAAGACAGAGAATCACTTGCCCCAGAGCCCCTATCTATAACTTGTGGCTAATAGCCACTGACGGACCTCTGCTCCAGATGCTTATCTAATTCCCTTTTGAAGCCATCCATGCTTGTAGCCACCACCATCTCCTGTAGCAGTGAATTCCATGTGTGAATCACTCTTTGGGTGAAGAAGTACTTCCTCTTATCCATTCTAACCCGACCGCTCAGCAATTTCATGGAGTGCCCATGAGTTCTCGTATTGTGAGAAAGGGAAAAAGTACTTCTTTCTCAACCTGCTCTATCCCATGCATAATCTTGTAAACCTCGATCATATCACCCCTCAGCCGTCATTTCTCCAAGCTAACCTCTCTTCATGGGGAAAGTGTCCCAACCCTTTTATCATTGTAGTTACCCTTTTCTGCACTTTTCCCAATGCTATAATATCCTTTCTGAGGTGTGGTGACCAGAATGAGGTCGCACCATCGATTTATACGTACACACAGATCACATGCTACCCATGGTAGTCAAATATTCCAGGAAACCACAAACCTCACTGTATACCTCATTGCCCAGATACACAGTTACTAAGTCAGACCTGAGGGTCCACCCAGCTCAGACAATATTACTCTGACTAGCTCTACAGGGACTCAGGCAGAGGCACACAACTTCCCCAACACTCAAGATCCTCTAACGAAAGAGACCCAGTGTTTGAACTTGGGCCCGACCAATAACCCCCATTACTGGACGGTTATATTCTGGGATACAGGAAGTCTGCCAGGAGCTGTCAGTCACGACACTGAAGCAAACGCTGCCTTTGAGGAGCAGAACTGGAAACAGAGCTAATTTGAGAGTCAAAGCAAACGAAACCTTTTATTCTGCCACTCGGTCTCTGGAACAAACACAACAACGAAACTCCAAGCTGACACACCTGTTTGTTCGCTGGGCAGGTGGCAGAGGGCGGTTTCTATCCAGGGCTGACCTCCAGGAGAGAGGCTTCCATGTTTTGCAACCTCAACAACAAAGTCAAGTCAGAGAACTAAAGAGCTCCCAGGCAGTAGCACGACCTGCGGGATGGTCCACTTCACATTCTGGACCCCTCTGCGGGGAAGGACCTCGGCCAAGGCTGCAGTTTGGTCAGATCTCCCCACAGGAGGCCCAGTTATGACGCAGCCCCCAGGACGAAGGAAAGCCACCGATGCTGAGCGCAGCTATCAGGGACCTGCTTCTAAGTTGGACTTCTTAGGACCTTGCTGAACGGTGTTCCCTGGTGACAAAGGGCCATGCCGCTCCAGAACACGAAGGGCCCGGCTAGGGTACAGCCTCAGCAATGCTTGAATGTGGAGATCAAAGGCCACCGTTCCAGCTAGAACACTTTCAGAAGTCTCTCCTGTGGACTCATTAACTACCCCCTCTCCTCAATCCTCAGTTTTCTCTAAGGAGTTGACCAGTCGTAAATCAGACAAGTCCATCTAGCTCACTAACCACAGTAGAATCATAGAATGTTAGAGTTGGAAGGGACCTTGCAGGTCATCTAGTCCAACCCCCTGCACTCTGCAGGAGCATAGCCGAAAGATAGCCCTACAAAAGATGGTCATCCAGCCTCCGCTTGGAAATGTCCAGCTAAGGAGCATCCACCACCTCCCGAGGTAGTCTGTTCCACTGCTCAACCACTCTTACAGTTAGGAAAAGGAAGAGCAGAGAAGAGATTGGATTTATACCCCGCCCTTCACTACCCAAAGGAGTCTCAGAGCGGCTTACAAACTCCTTTCCCTTTCCCTCCCCACAACAGAAACCCTGTGAGGTAGGCGGGGCTGACAGAGCTCTTGACAGAGACTGCTCTTTTTCAAGGACAGCTCTTATCAGAACTACGGCTTGCCCAAGGTCATCCAGCCAGGTGCAAGTGGAGGAGTGGGGAATCAAACCCGGTTCTCCCAGATTAGAGTCCGCGCACTTCACCACGACACCAAACCGGCTCATCGACTTGTATCATCAACTATCATCTATCAACTATGAAGTGGGTTGTCAAACACTGGTCCCCAGACTGAGGCAGGGTGCCAGGACTCTGGGAAGTGCATACGGTTGGGCAGGTGAGGACTGTATTCCTCCCTGATCCTAGGAACTGGAATGTAAACACAACAGGTGATAATCAGCGCAAGGAACCAGGTATCTCCCCCCCCCCAAGAATATGGGGCTCTCGCTTCTTGAACCATGTTGCAGGTCCAACGTGACTTTGCGCTCGTTTTCCTCATGTTGAACACACACGAGGAAGCCGTCTTGCACCTCGGACCGTCAGTCTTGTCTACTCAGGCTGGCTGTAGCTCTCCAGGACCTCAGGCCGAGGCCTCTCACTTCACCTCCTACCTGGTCCCTTTAACAGGAGACACCTGGGACCATCTGCCTGCAACGCAGAGGCTCTTCCACTGAGCCCCCTCCCTCCTCAACGGCTTTCTGCAGAGGACAAGAGCAGACGTGGCACATATCTATTCGGGTCACAGTTTGGGTGTCTGGACTCGGGGTTCTGGCTGAAGCCTGAGACAGCCCTGCTCTACAGTTGTAGGCAGACAACTTTGTCAGACGTGTTTTCGAGCGCCTCTAACCAGAGACACTCTGGCCTCAGCTCCTGCCAGCCTAGCCGTTCGAAAGCAAGAAACTGCAAGTAGATAAATAGATCCTGCTTCGGTGGGAAGGGAACAGCGTTCCGTGCGCCTTGGCGTTTAGTCATGCCGGCCACATGACCACGGGAATGTCTCCGGACAGCGCTGGCTCTTCGGCTTGGAAACGGAGATCAGCACCACCTCCTAGAGTCGGATTCGACTGGCTTCTGAGCAAGGGAAACCTTTATCTTTAATCAGAGACGGAAGTTGTGTTTTCACTTATAGGGAGAAAACAGCAGCAAGAGTGCTGGATGCAGACCAGGGAGATGCAAGTTCAATTCTCCATTTGTCCAAAAAATTTGCCAGGCGCCTCTGGGCCAATAATTGCCCCTCACCCTAATCTATGGCAAGGGATTATTGTGTGGTAGGTCTGGACCACTCCGAGTGACTTGGAAGAAGGGCAAAATATTAAATCAGTGATACTCAGTGGCTCTGGAGACACACCTTTTGCAGTTCTGCGGGGCCTGTGAAACGGAGCTCTTCCACTAGGCCTTCAAGTAGCCCTGGCCCTAATATCAACACCACCAACAACCTGGCCTTAACATCAACATCTCCACCAGCCGGATGATTAACAACCTGGCAGGAGCCATTGACATGATGACTTAATCTTAATCTAATGTTTTTAGCATATATTGGAATTTTAATGTATGTATTTATACATATGTTGTCAGCCGCCCTGAGCCTGCCCACGGCAGGGAGGATGGGATATAAATTTAAATAAACACCACTGACACACACCAACCAAGTGGGGTTTGTGACCGGCAGGCGATTCCCAACTTGAAAACAGCCGCTGCCGGAGGAACAGGGAAGTTGCGAGCCTCCCTGAGACGTAGGCCTTATGGCTCTTCTGGCCGATTCTAATTGTGAATGTGGCTCTCTCTGAGTACTGCTACTGCATTAACTAAATGCCGCCGTCACTTTAATTGCAATTACCTGCAAGGTGTCTTCATTCAGGCCAAAGTACAGCTTTGTCCAAAGTCCGGAGGCGTCCGGCACCTTCGTCAGGTGGACGACAGCATTATCTAAGGACACGCTGACGCTACTTTCTGGAGAAGACAATTTATTCTCAGCAGGATGCCGCAAGAGGAGGGTGTAGGAGGCCGAGTCTTTGCTGGCAAAGCTGACCCTGTAGTGCTGTGTGCCCACCTCCCCTTTGAGGCTCTGGGGAACGATGCCGGGCACTTGCAAGAGCAGCACCAAGGCCTCTTCATCCTGAGTGCACTGGAAAGGAGGGCACAGGGGAGGCGTCGGGCTGCTGGCGGGTAACGGAGAGTCGGGGCTGCTGGAAGGGCTTGGGGCAGGCTCCGGGTCCACACCAGGGCTTGTCCCAGAGAGCAGAGGGGAGCCCGGAGGGCTGTCTGCAGCACTGACAGGCGTCATAGAAAGTTCTGCAGAGGGGGAGTGTGTTGGTGCTGCAGGGCTGCTACAGCTACCGGGGTTCCCGGAGCCATCCCTCCTGGGGCAGGTGTCCACCTTCTGATCTGGGTTGGAGCGGTGGTGGCACTCTGTGGCCACAGGGTGATCAGAGCCGACACCACAGAGGCCTGTAGAAGGGGCTGTGGCATCATCGAGTTCTGAGGAAGGCGCAGCCTTGGCGACCTCCGGGCACTGCTGAAGATCCATGTCGGTGCCAAGCCCCACTTGAGTGACAGCAGGGCCAGTTATGCCAGGGCGCCCGGGAAGCTCCACGCCGTCGCCCGCGCACACCCTGGGGGGGAGGGGAAGGCTGTCAGACTCATGGCCCTCGCCGTCTCTGGCGCTCGGGGCACCTTCCGGGGCACCTGGACCGGGGCTCCCGTCGCGGGAGGACGCCTCGATGCTGCTACAGCGGGCGGCGCCCGAAGCAACCGGGTCGCCACTCGCAGGGTCGCCGTGTAGCTCCGGGGTGGAACCCGGGGGGGCGTCGAGGGGGGCCGGGCGAGTCACAGCCGATCCCCCCGGCCAGCTACTCCCGGCAGCCACCGGACCGCTTTCCCCAGCGCACACCGGAAGCTCCACGTGGTTTGTCCCCACGTGGGTCGCAGGACAGGGCTGTTCCGTGATCCTGGGTGGTTGTTCGGGGAGGGTGCAGGATCCCTCCGGCGGCTCGAACTGGGAAGGCGAGTCGCCGCTTCCCGGAGCCTCTTTCTCTTCTTCCTCCTCCTCCTCGCCTGTCCCGGCCAGGAAGGCGGGCCCGGGGGGGCGGACGACAGGCAAGGTGACCACCAGGCGCCGCCGGCCCTTGTCGAAGGTGGCCCGCCCGCCGTCCTCGTCCACCGGGTAGGGCAGGCGGAGCCGGAGGCGGTAGGCGGCGGCGGGGCGCCGCGAGTCGAGGCGCAGCTCCCTCCCGCGGACCTCCAGCTGGGCCTGGGCGGCGGAGGCGAGCAGGGGCAGCTCGACCGTCACCTCCAGCTCTTTGGGCACCGGGCTGGGCGCCGAGTCGCGGCTGCAGCGGTAGTCCTGGAGGTCGACGTAGGAGCGCTGGCGGAGGGTCCACCGCGGGGTGGTGGCGGCGGGGGCGGGGTCCGGCTCGGGCTGCGGGTGCTGCGGGGCCGGCTCGGGCGGGGGCGGCGGGGAGGGGGAGGGACCGGGTCGGCGGCTCCGGGGAGGGGCGTGCGGAGGAGCGCGGCCTGCGGGAGGCCCTTGTAGCGGGTGCCGCGCAGGGGGGCGGCGTTGGCGCGGTCGAGGCCGGGCGAGAAGTGCCGCTCCACGGCCTCCAGCGCCGTCTCGTCGACCAGGCGGCGGAAGCGGGGCGAGCGGGCGGCCAGGCGGAGGGCGTCCGGGTGGAAGAGGACGTCGTAGACCTGGCGGCGTTGGCGGCGGTGGCGTTGGGGTCCTTGTCCTCCTCCGGGGCCGGCCAGCTCCTGGCGGCCGGGCGAGAGGCAGTGCGGGAGGGTCCAGCGGGTGCCCCCGGGCTCCGGGCGGGCCTGGGGGCGGCCGACGGCGGCGTGGGCGCAGACGTTGAGGTAGCAGCGGCGGGCGCCGGCCTGGCTGGTCCGCAGCACCCAGCCGGGGGTGGGGTGGAGGAAGCGGGCCTCGACGCCCCGCTGCCGCTCCAGCGCCACCACCTCGGCCTCGTAGGCCGCCCGCCGCGCCGGGTCCGACACCTCGGCCGCGTACTCGGCGAAGAGCCGGCGGAAGCCCTCGTCCTGGAAGGCCCGCCGCAGCCGCTCCACCTCCTCGCCCGTCAGCTCCAGCTCCTCCAGGCCCGCCATGGCCCCGACGGCCGGCGCGACGGGAGGGCGGTTGGTTAGCGGGGGACTGAGGAGGCCCGGCGAGATCGGCGGCGGCGGCGTTGCTAGGGAGACGGCGGGCCTAACAAGATGGCGGCCGCGGTTGCCATGGGGACGGGCCAGCGCGCGGGCCCTGGATGGAACAGATGGAGAATGGTCCAGGGGCGCCTTTGAGGTCAGCGCCACCCCCCCCCCCCCTATATCCATATAGGGGGTGGTGGCAGCGCTCCCTCTAAGCCGTGGAGTCTTGTGATCAAAAATTCTTCTTCGTGAGCTGCTGGCATTGAAGTTGTGAGCGAGCGACTTGGCTGCTGCATCAATTAGTTTGCTCTGGAGCCACGTCCTTCCTGAGCAAAGACGGAAATGTGTGAGCCGGAGGCTACAAAACTGTGAGCTAGCTCACACTCACTCCGCTTAGAGGGAAGAAGAAGAGATTGGATTTATACCCCGCTGCACCGCTAAATCCATTTGGGGATTTAACTGAAGTGGGGAGACTGGTCTAGAGTCCGTTTGTGGGAAAACCACGTTACTGAGAGAAGAAACAAACAGGAGTCCTGTGGCCGTTCCATTTTCTGCTGTGGATTGAAATCGGGTCATATGCTTGTTTAAGTTTCGTGTTTTGCCAAAGGCAAAAAATCATGCATATGATGCAAACTACAAGACTGATCCAGTCTGAGACCCTTTCTTGGCTTTACATTAAGCCAACAGAAGCTGCAACTGTTTTTGCTACCTGAACTTGATGAGTCACTGATTAAAACCGCAATTTTTTCTCAGAGTATGTACTCTTTAATCTGTACACATGTGTAAAAATGGACATATCTCCTTTGAGCTGCTTTTGTGTAATAGTTTGTTTCTTTATATTTTTACACCATGGGAAGAATAAAGAATGTTATAACAGTATAAGAGGGAACAGTATTTCAGACCAACAGAGGTTGATTCAAGGCATGTTAAGTCCCAGTCTATCAGTTTGAACCCTACCTACCATTCCAATGTATTCGAAAAAGTGAGCCTTGCACACGAAAGCTCATACCTTGAATAAACCTTTGTTGGTCTTGAAGGTGCTCCACTGGACTCTAAATTTGTTCTCCTGCTTCCAACCAACACGGCTGACCACCGTGACCTGGATCTAGGTCTGTCTAACAGGAGCGATCAATAAATAAATGTTTAAAGATCAGCTTTTGGGGTTCTTTAGTAGCAGGATTGAGCAAACCTAAACAGTATGATAAAAAGTAGAGACATCACCCTCCCAGTAGTCATGTATGGCTGCGAGAGTTGGACTATAAGGACAGTCGAGCGCCGAAGAATAGGTTCTTTTGAACTATGGTGCTGGAGAAGACTCTTGAGAGTCCCTTGGACTGCAAGAAGATCCAATCAGTCAGTCCTAAAAGAAATCAACCCTGACTGTTCCCTGGAAGACCAGATAATGAAACTGAAGCTCAAAGACTTTGGCCACCCAATGAGAAGGGAGCACTCACTGGAGAAGACCCTGATGCTGGGAAATACTGGAGGTCAAAGAAGACAGGGATGGCAAAGGATGAGATGGTCAGACAGTGTCATTGATGCAACGAACATGAAATTGAGCAAACTTCAGAGGACGGCGGAAGACCGGAAGGCCTGGCGTGATCTGGTCCATGGGGTCGCGAAGAGTCGGACTCGACTGTGCGACTGAACAACAACAAGTAGCAGGATTGGCACTGGCTTCAGTCGTAACATGAAATCACTTCTAGCAGCAGTCGTTCCTAAATCCATTGCAGTGGCAGAGATTCTGGCCTTGGCGGTGCCTGGCTCTGCAGGAAAAGGGTCAAGGCCAGCATTGGCGTTAGGGCCTCAGGGTTGGTCACTGTGGAGAACAGTTCGGAGCATACTGACTGGACTGTCCGTGGAAGGAGCCATGAATAAATTTTTTAAAGTTCATCTTTTGGAGTAAAGGGCAGAATTTGAATTAGCTTCACTCCTAACCATTGGTCTCTCTGAGTTAGTGCGAGCTAGCTCACCGCTTTTTAGCCTCCGGCTCACCCATTTTTGTCTTCGCTCAGGAAGGATGCCTCCAGAGCAAACTGATTTATGTAGCAGCCAAATCGCTCGCTCACAACTTTAATGCCGGTAGCTCACAAAGTAGAATTTTTAACTCCACAGTTTAGAAGGAGCATTTAACATCAAATCACTTTTAGCAGTCGTTCCTAAATCCATTGCAGTGGCAGAGATTCTGGCCTTGGCGGTGCCTGGCTCTGCAGGAAAAGGGGTCAAGGCCAAGCTCGGTGTTAGGGCTTCAGGGTCGGTTACTGTGGAGACCAGAGCATACTGACAGGCCTGTCTGTGGAAGGAGCCATAAATAAATGTTTTGGAGATCTTTGGGGGTAGAATTTGTATTTCCAGGCATAACATGAAATTAGCTACAGCTATAACCTAGCAGTTCAAAAGCAAGAAATTGCAAGTAGATAAATAGGTACCACTTCGGTGGGAAGGTAACAGCGTTCCGTGCGCCCTGGTGTTTAGTCATGCCGGCCACATGACCACAGAAACGTCTTCGGACAGTGCTGGCTCTTTGGCTTTAAAACGGAGATGAGCACTGCAACCCTAGAGTCAGACTTGACTGGCTTTCGAGCAAGGGAACCTTTACCTTTATAATTCCTAAATTCGTTACTGTCATGATCTGGGCTGTGCCACCAGAGGCCTACTAGGCCCAGGGAGCCTGGGTAGCAGTAGGTGAGGCTGGGCCTACAGCTCCCAGAAGCCCCTGGGAGGTTTTGGAGCCAAAATTGACCAATAGGAAAAGAGGAGGGCTTGGAATAAAAGATCTGGTGCAGCAGGAAAAGCTGTTCTTTTTCCCAGAGGGCAGAGCCAGGCTGCTGCAGGAAGAAACCCTCATCCTGAGGGAAGGGTGAGTAGTCTAAGGCCACTGCAGATAGTGAGCTAGGGACAGTATATATCTAGGGCATTTGATTTCTTTTCACCCACTTACTGTTATTATTCTGCACCTTGTTGTTTGACGACCTATACAATAAACTATTTTCATTGTTCACTCTGCCTGGTCCTCACACTTATTATTCGGCCAAAAGGGAGGTCTGAAGGTCTTGGGAGGGTGCTCTGGGCCTTCTCAAGGGAGCCTGGAACCAGAGTGGTGGCAGCATCAGGTAACACCCCACCTGAGCCATGACAGTTACAATGGCAGAGTTCCTAGCCTTGGTGTAAAGTTGCCGACCTCAAGATGGGGGCTGAACTACAGAGATGGGTTCCCCCGAAGAAAACAGCAGCTGGGGGGGGGGCACTTTATGGCATCTAAAAGGTTTCTGAAAAAGGCAGCTCGAGAACCAAATTGCTTCTACCTAGAGGTGCATGACCGCCACAAAGGAAGTGGAGGGCAAAGGAGTGGTCAGCTCCCCTCCCCAGGCTCTACAACCACTTGCATTCCTCACAAATGGGCTTAGATACCAGTGGGAAGGGTTAAACACACCCCACTAGCAGTGTTCCCTCTAAGCTGAGTTAGCGTGAGCTAGCTCACAGTTTTTTAGATTCCGGCTCACACATTTTTATCTTTGCTCAGGAAGGATGGCTCCAGAACAAACCAATTTATGCAGCAGCCAAATCGCTCACTCACAACTTTAATGCCAGTAGCTCACAAAGAAGAATTTTTGCTCACAAGACCCCACAGCTTAGCGGGAGCATTGCCCACTAGCATAGGTCATTTCGTAGAAAAAGAGGTGCATGAGCTCATTAGCATTAATCATTTGCATATGCCACACCCCCTGACATCACCGGAAACGTGTCAGAAGGCAACACCCACCGCTCAGGATCCACTTGACTGTTGGATTGCTAGCTATTGGGGGGGGGGGACATGCAGATCTGTCCTGGCAGAGGAGGGAGAGCTTGTCCCTGAATAAAACTTGGTCGTAAAGGTGCCACTGGACTGTTTTGGGCCGGGGGGGGGGGCTCTGCCACTTACCTGGCTGCTTCTTGCTCTGACTGAGGGCTGCTGGGAGCAGGGGGTGAGGCTTGTATGTGCCTGCCCCCTGGGCTCTTTACTGCCGGAGCTCCGCTCCTATGCACTCCTGTATTTATATTTATTTATTTATTCCTTCGATTTATATACCACTCACCCCCTAAGGGCTGTGAGCGGTTTACATCATACAGTTGATACCATTCCTAATCTAAGGCCACACACATACAATGGGGAAGTGACTAACCTAGCAGGCACCCTACGGTGGAGTCATTTGTTGTAGTCTTTTCCTGCGGGAGGTCTTTCTCAGTCCGGTGACAGCGTTGGGTTGTTTTTTTTTCCCCTGGCGCAGGCCTTGGCCGTTGCGACTCCTCCCGGGCCTGGGCCAAGCGTCAGCACGTGCTCGCTGCCGGCCTCTGTCCAGTCGGCTCCGGCCTGCTGCGTCGCCCCGCCTCCGCACTTGCCGGCCCAGCCTCTGCTCACTTGCTCGCTCGACTCGCCGCCATGTTCTCCGCCACTCCGTCACTTGCGCTGCCGCCATGCCACGAAGGACGGGTGCCCCCCCCACTCTAAGAGCAGGTACCCATTTTGTCTACTTGCCCTTTAACGGGCTTTCGAGCCACTTGGTGGGCGGGAGCTGGGACATAGGGCCGGGAGTTCACTCCGGCCACGGTGGGGCTCGAACAGGCTGTTTGGCCAGATGGAAGTGCAGGCTCCATTTACTGCATGCGCCACCGCTCCCTCAAGGAAATGTAGGAAATGACCCCTGCCCACTAGTATCCTTTTTGAATCTACCAAGCACCTCTGTTCATGGGCTGCAAAACTGGAACACGTTAACATGTGAGTACAGATCTTGGAAGGCTCTTGAGGAAAAGGACTAGTCTGAGATGAACAAATTTAGAGTCCAGTGGTACCTTTAAGACCAACAAATGTTTTGTTGTTATTTAATGGTTTTACTGTTTTATCCTGTTTTTATGTATGGGCTTGTGCCCTCTTGTGAGCTGCCCTGAGCCCACTCACGGGGAGGGCGGGGTAAAAATGTTAA